TGACTGTAGTCCCTTTTTCTCATGGACCTGGTTGTTCCACTCATTTGGCTCATCCACCAGTGAGGCCCAAGCCGTAGGAGCTGGTCTTATTCCAGGGGGCAGCAATGTCCCTTGTCATTGATCTGATTGTCCCCTTTGTTCTACCCACCAGACTTGAACCAACAGTCTCAAGGGAGCCATGCCATCATGACCAGGTACAAAGGTCACGTTGCACATATGGGACCAGACCCTGGAGGCTTGGCACCACCACCGTAACACGGGCATCTCCAAACAACATCCTTGGCCACTGAAATTTCTGGCATTCAGAATTCAGGCACTTATATAAAAAAGGTCATCTAAATAGCCATCCTTCACAGTGGTCTCCTTATGTATGTAATATAGGCAGCCTCCTACCTCTCCACTGTGATGGCTCAAGGCCAACCCAGCACCACTCTTAAGAAAACAATTCCAATTGCAAGCCTTCCTGACTATGAGTTGTAGTTCAGGATGGCTAGAAGTGGAATCCTGAGACTGGGGACAGAGTCTGCCTGGAACCTGTCCCAGCTGGGTGGTACTACAAAAACAATCGAACCTTGTGGAACTTCAACTTCGTCACATGTAAAATGGAGCTCAGAACCTGCTGCCCTGGTGTTTTTGTGCCAGTCCCATTAGATATTAGCCAATGAGCTCATGTAGATCTGGCAAATGACAATGATACATAGAAATATAAGGCTTCATGGTGGTTCTCATTACTGGCCCTAAGGAAGGCTAGGGATGGTGTGCACAATTAGATTTTTTTCTCTAAGAGGGGCCTGAATCATACCGTACCTTTCCCACATCCGCAAGACACTAAATGTGCACAGGAGAAACTCCACACCCACAGAACTGTGGGATCCTTGAAGAAGGGCCAGCTCACTCTTACCCAGAGCTGGACAACCTCTATGAAGCTCCCTGGGGAAATTCCTGTGATGCTCAATCAAGCTGCAAGGAAGGAGGGGAGGAGGCAATACGTGACTCGTACACTAGGCTCAGCAGAAGAGAAGCTGGGGCAAAGCTCCCTGTGGGATAACACTGTTGGGTTGCTTTTTGTTTGCTTTAGTTTACTTTCTATTTCTTCCTTTTTTACTCACTCTTTCTTTCTCTGTCTCTTGAAAAGAAGAGATAAGAATGTAGGCATCTAATATTTAGCCTAAATGTTCTTTTCCCCGAAGGACCCAACAAATGGGTCTAGGTGAAGTCAGGCCTCTAATAAGCCAGTTCCTCTCCTTTGAAATGGATCAGAGAGCAGCCATCCCTGGTAATCACCCTGGCCCCAGCTCCCACATCCCCCACATATTCCCCACCATCCAGGCAGCCTTTTAATAGACTCTGATCTGGTTTGTTTTTGTCTTTGTGTTTGGTTGTGCAGATGGCAGCTGTGCATTACTTTCTCCAACAGATCCACCTATGTGGGTGAAATTCCATAGGAGAAATGGCCTTGAACTCTGATTAAGGCCCTCCCCTAACATGCTGCACCATGCACACCAGATTAGGTGAGATGGGAAAAATTTAGACTGTGTCTAGGGCATCAAAGTATCTGACAACTTTTAATAGTCAACGTGATGCTTCAGTGCACACCCAGGAGAGATGTCCAAGTGGCCACTAGGCAGCCTTAAGAGGCAATCCTGAAATAAATGGATTCCTTTCTTTGGAATGGAAATAATGCTTAGGGGGCAGCTAGGTGGCACAGTGGATAGGGCACTTGCCCTGGAGTCAGGAGGACCTGAGTTCAAATGTGGCCTCAGACACACTAACTGTGTGACCCTGGGCAAGTCACTTGACCTCAATTGCCAAAAAAAAAAAAAGGAAATAATGCTTTGCCTAGAACTTGTCTCCCCCAGGGCTGTGCCCCTTTTATGATCTTATTTAGAACTAATGGGTGGAAAAGGCTGATTACTGAGGCACATATACGCACCTAGCATTACATCCTTAGTCATATTCGATGATACCAGGGATCTACACCAATAACTATAGTACTCAGTATGAAATTGCTGCTACCCAAATTGAGTTTCCCCCAAACCTTCTCAACCCTTGTTCTCCAACAGTCTGAAGAAACCTTGCTGAGTGCTAGTATTTTGGAAGAGAAAAGTCTTCCAGTCCCTTGGAAGGAATGGGGTTTGTGAGGAGCCAGGAAGGTAGGCCCCTTGTTTCTTCCCAGGTGGCCTAGTGCCAAGCTAATCAAGCTATCAGATCACCAGCCCAGGCCTCTTGTCTCTCCTGAGCTCCCACTGCCTGCTGGCCATCCCTTCCTGGATGGCCCATGGGCATCTATTCAACCTGCCTCCTTGTCGTTCAGCAGAAAACCAGCCTTGCTCCTAACTTCAGTTTTCTACCAACATTACCATGTCCTACCGCTCTACCATGATAGCCATCTATGTGCAGTCCTCTCACTCTTCCCCAGTACCCAATCCTTTCCTGGGTCTCGGTGATTCTACCTCCTCAAAATCTGTCACTCATATCTGCCTAATCTCCTTCCTCTTGATGCACACCACCATCACCCTAACTCAGACCCTCATCCCCCCCTTTGCCTGAACCACTGCAATGACCTTCTAATTGATCTCCTTGCCTCCAGCTCTCCCTACTTCTTCCCATCCTCAATAGAGCTATCTAACTGATATCCCTTACATACAGGTCTATGCCCCTCCTATTCTCAAGAATGTTTCATTTCTCCACTGCCTTCAAAATCAAATACTAACTGCTCTAGCCTATCTTTTGAGGTGAACAACATGGCCCCCCTCCCAAATTCTGTGGTCCAGATGAATTGGCCTAGTTGCCATTCCCTGTATAAAGAATTCCATTTCCTGCCCCTGGGCCTTTGCCCAGGCTGTCTACTGGAATGTTTTCCCCTTATGAAATTCCTAGCTCAAATGCCACCTTCAAATGCTCTCTTAATTTCCCTGGATCTTTTCCAACCATTATCTTTCCAATTTCCTTAGTATCTTCCCTGGAAATGGATGTGTTTATTTTGTCTATATCCTCTACTGTACATCTAGGAACATGTTCTGTGCTCTCCTCTCCCCAGTAGAAATGGGAGCCTCCTGAGGACAGAGACTGTTTCAGTTTTTCTGTGTGTCACCAGTGCCTAGCACAGTGGCTGGAATATAGTAGGTGTTTTAAATTTGAGAAGGAGATTTCAGCTCTGGGAATTAATGAGCATGGTTACTAACCTTCATCAAGGCAGAATCAGAAGTAAGGGAGGAGCTATAAAGAGAATCATTTAGACTTGAAAAGCTTCTTTCCCACAGCTGTCCCAGAATGAGGAGCCAGCCGGGAGTGGGGAGCAAGCTTCCTCCTGGTGCTCTTTCAGCAAGGGCTTAGCGACTATCTCTAAATGAAGCCTTGTGGTGCCTTGAAGGGCTTCTAGGCCTCTGAGCTCCCTCCCATTCCTCTGGGGTTCCATGACGGGTATATAAGCCATAGCCAATCTCTACTTCCCAATCTGTTTAAAAAAAAAAAGGGAATGTGTCCTTTGGGAATTTGGAGCCTCCTTCAAAATCTGGGGCTCTTCCCATGGTGGACTGTCCACTGAAGATTCCTAGCCAATGCTTCTCTCGGTGCTTCGTGCTGGATTTTCAGATAACTGAGTCCTTCTGGAGGTGGCCGCTTATCCAGACAGGAGTTCCTTATTTGCTAAACATTAAGATCCAGTTTCCCAGCAGGTAAACATTGAGCAAGCCTCCATCTAATACCTAGGAGTTAATGAAAGCTTTTGGCGAGTGTTTCACAGGAGCGAGATCCACTGTCTGTGTAATTAACAAGAAGTGGCCCACCTGAGCTCCCTAAAGTACCAGAATGTGACTGCTCAGTTAGGGAAGGGTGCTCTTCATTGCCTTGGCTGCATCCAGTGGTCACTGACCCGCCTCTATCTGGCCAGGAACCCCCCCCCAATTCCCCCAAGTACCTGAGGTCTCTACTCTACTCTCCCTCCTTCCTTTTTCCCAGTTGCAAAGTCTTGTTAATGCCTCTGTCTCCCCTAGGATAATTACTCTTCCTACCATTCACATGTCAGCCTCATCTCCTCCCACTTGGAGTACAGCAATAGCTTCTTCTTTTTTTTTGATGAGGCAATGGGGTGAAGTGACTTGACCAAGGTCACACAGCTAGTAAGCGTCAAGTGTCTGAGGTAAGGTTTGAACTCAGGTCTTCCTGAATCCAAGGCAGGTGCTCTATCCACTGCACCATCTAGCTGCCCCAGCAATAGCTTCTTAAGCAGGCTCCCTGCTTCCAGGCTGGTCCCTTTCCAAACTAGCCTCCCTACTGTTACCAAAGCCATCTTTGCACTCTGTCACTCCCCTACATAATTAATAAATGTTTGTTGAATTAAATTGGATTCATTCTTTCTTTTCAGCTAAATATGAAGTGGATCTGAACCTGAAGCCAATCTCCCAGAAGCCCCCAGTCCCCAATCTCCCCACTGCTCTCTCTGTACAGCATTTTTCTTCAGCTGCTCATTCTCACAACCTCACAGTATCCCAGAACTCAGTCAGGGACATCCCTTTCATTTTTCGGAGACCCCATGACCAGGTGAAGGTGACTGCCTAACTCAGCAAGTTAGTGTAGATGGCAGAAGAACCCCAGCCCTTAGCCCCTCTCCTTTCCCTCCAGCAGCTGCTAATGCCTTGAAGCCATCCTCAGCTCCTTTATTAGGCAGGGCTCTGACAAAAAGGGGGAGAAAGGGAGCATTAGGAACTTGTGTCACAGAAAGATTGTTTTAGGGTTATCAAGAAGGAAGAGGTTGGCTAGCTGTGCTTGGTTTGAAAGTAGACATGAAAGGAAGAAGACTGAACATGTGTTCAGTTCTAAGAGTAGATTGTCATTGCCCTGGGAAGATCTGGGCACCAGGAGACACAGCGAGATGTTAACGGCGAAATCTAAAAGTAAAAGCCGACTCTACCAACTGGGCTTCCCAGCAGCAGAGCTCCGGCCTCCCCCTCAGACCCAACCCCCGACCAGGCACACTGATTTATGGAAGTGATAATTACATCCTCATCTTTCTCCAGCTCGAGTCCAGCCTCCAGAAGGTTGCTCTCATACTCTTCCCGGCGGGATCGCTTGTCATCTTCGTGATGGTCAATCTCGCCGGCGTCCAGGGGCCCGTCCTTGCCAGGCAGAGGTTCCTGCTTGAGGTTCTGGGACCCCAGTGAGGGATCAACGTGGAGGACTCGGGCCAGGATGTTATGGCCCGAGGTCCTCTTGTAATTGTAGACGAGGATGTAGTCCACTTTCCTCTGGCCATCTCGAAAATAGAGACCATACTTGCAGTTGGCGTCGGGGTCCACGGCCAGTGAGTTCAGCAGCTACAGAGACAGGAAAGAGAGAGGCCATTGGTCATGCCATTCTACAATCTTTAAAAGGAAACAGATTGCAATAAGAAATGATTTGTGTCTCTGGAGAAGAGAACCCAGAAGGCAAACTCTGGGAGGGCAGAGCTTTCTTATCTTTCTCCTATCTCCCAGAGAGAGCAATAAAGGGATTACATTGTAGAAGCTTGTGGAGACACTGTTACACTGTAGAAGCTTGTGGAGATGCTGTTACACTGTAGAAGCTTGTGGAGACACTGTTACTGACTTGGGTGTATTAGGAGTTGCAGCCCAGTCCTATCTTTGTAAGGCCAGAGCCTAACACAGTGCTGGGCATACAGTAGATACTTAATAAATAAATGCTTACTGACTAACTGATCTCTTACAACACGTAGTATAGGAACCATTTTGTGATGCCCTGGGTATATTCTGCAGGCCCAGCATGGTGGTGCACACCAGTATAGTGATCCCTGCTGGGGATGAGGCTAAAGCTGGTGGGTCCAGTGAGCTGTAATGGGCTACAGCCAAGCAGGTGGCAGCTAAGTAGGGAAATAAATAGAGTTTTGGGCCTGGAGTCAGGAAGACCTGAGTTCAAATCCAGCCTCAGACACTTGCTAACTCTGTAACCCTGGGCAAGTACTTTAACCTTGCTTGCCTTGATTTCCTCATCCGTAAAATAAGCTAGAAAAGGAAATGTCCAATTATCTCTTCTAAGAAAACCTCAGGTGGGGTCATGAGTTGGACATGACTGAAATGACCCTACAACTGAAAACAAAAAGAGTCAAGCAGGTGTCTGCACTAAGGCGGGCACCGATCTGGTGAGCCCCAAGGAGCGGGGGGCCAAGCTGCCAGGGTTGGGGATGACTGGGCCAAGCTGGAGCCACAGCAGGTCAAAGCTTCCACACTAGTCAGCAGTGTGATCAAGAGCATGAGTGGCTGCCTCATTTCTAGCCCAGGTGAGATAAAGAGATCAAATCTCTTTGGCATTTTCTTCTCAGGGCCAACTGTCCTCTCCAGGAGAATATAAGAGCTAGGAGGGCAGGGACTGCTTCTTTTCTGTCCCCCTGGCACATGCCAGACTCACAGCAGGTGCCAGATTGCTAAAATAACCATTGTAGCTACTTCATGAATTTTCAGCTGAAAAGTGAAAGCTAAAATTGCTCATTGGCCACCCCCAATGCTAAAGGGATCCAGGACCTGGAGAAAGGAAAGTCCCTGAGGGCAATAACTGATTTCATGGCTCTCCTGGATCCCTAGAGCCTAATCAGCACCTAGCACATAGTAGGCTCTTCTGACTGATGGGCCTGGAACATTGTAGGGGCTTACTCAATGCAGCTGTCTGTGTGACACAGTGGAGAGGCCATGGGATAGGCTGGAAATGAGGTGAACTGGCCTCAAGTCTCAGCCAGACTCTTCATTCCTTTTGGCCCAAGGCCACTGAGCAACCTCCCAGAATAGAGAACAGGTGCTAGTCAGCAGCTCCCAGGTTTCTAATAGCAAGGTTTTGATCCTAGCAGACAGACAACATGCTGGAGCCAACATGAAGGAGGCATTCATCAGACCTAGGGAATTAAGTGAGTGGTCTGATCTAACCTGGGCTCCCCTGGGACTCAGATTCCACTCTGTTGCTCACTGGGAGGACAGGCCCTGAGGAACACTGGGCTTGGCAGCATCCCCTCCCCCCTGAGCCTTGCTTTGGATTCCTGCCAAGTCCAATGAGGAGAATAAGAACCCTGGCGCTTGGGGATGGCTGTGTAGGTAGAGCTCCATAAGATAACAATGGGTGTGAAAGCAGGTTGGAACCCAGGGAAGGTACAGGGCCACCCAAGATGGAGGTTGCCTTTGAACCTGCCTTTCTGGTTCTCCAAAGGGATTCCGAGAACAGAGAGCAAGTGAGCATTAGTATTGCTTTCAAGTCCACAAAGCCTTTCCATAAACTATCTCATTTGATCCTCAAACAACCATGGGAAGGATGAGCTGGGATGATCCCCATTTTACAGATGAGGAAAGTGAGGCAGATGGTAGGGAAATGACTCATCCAGGGTCACACAAGTAGGAAATGACTGAGGTTGGAGCTGAACTCTGTCTTCCTGACTCCCAGTCCCACATTCAGCTGTGCAGATGTGCTGAGTCACAGCCTGTGATTTCTTTTTTTTTTTGGGGGGGGATAGTGTATAAGGTGCTATACTGGGAATTATTCTAATTGCTAGCTTTAGATACCTCATTCAATTTTCCTCTGAGTGGGTTAATTAACCTTAACATAGAGCAGCCTGCTCTCTCTGAAGACATCTGGGCTGTTGTCCTGACCCTGGGATTAATACCATTCTGTGCAAGCATTTCTCACTCCGACTGTCTCTCTGGTAGATGCTGCACCATCTGAGAAGGAATCAACCCCGCCAGCTGGCTGCCTCATGCACACAGCATGGCATGGACTCAAGCCAGAGGGCTGGGCTCTGCTCCTGCTTAGCTGCTGGCTTTTCCCATGCAGACCCACTGTGGCCCAGGACAGCTTTCCAAGGCTCTGTCCAGATTTAAAAGGTCACTGGGAATTTTAGGAGATGGGACCAGGTGCCTGATCCTGCCGTGGCTGCCCCAGGGCATTGGTCTCAATGATCCCTCCCTGGGTGACCTTGGTGACCTGAGCCTCAGGTTGGAAGCTTTAGGGGTCGTCCTGTCCAGCATCTGCTTTTTACAGAGGGGGAGGAAACTGTGGCACAGAGATGGAAAGGGACTCATCCAAGGTCATACCATAGGTGATGAAGTGGGAATTCAAACATAGCCCAACTCACCTGAAATTCAAGGGTCCTTTCACTGCCTTCCTGAGTTCAAGAGATAATTGCTACAGACCCAACTAGTTCTAAGTCTGAGGCTAACCATCAATATTAAAAACTGGCTTCACACAAAATTCTGGAAATTTAGAGTGAGAAGTCCAGAGTCCAAACTGGATGAGACCCTGGATGTTATCTAGTCCAACCCCCTCAATTTACATATGAGGAAATTGAGGTCACGTGACACAGTGAAAATAGCTCAGGATTTGGGGTTAGAGGTCTTAGGTTCAAATTCTGACTGGGCTTCTCATTACCTTGGTGACCTTGATTGAATACTTTAAGCTTCTGGGCCTCAGTTTCCTCATTTGCAAAATGAGGGAATGGGACCGCTAAGGCCTCTTCTATGGTACCCAGATTGGGAAAGGGACTTGACCAAGGTCACATAGGTGGTAAGCAGCTGATTATAAAGAAAATTTATGATGATTTTCCTCCTTAGGGGCAGCTACTGCATGGAAAAGATGGGCTTAAAGAAAAGGAGGAAACAGGATTTAAGTGCCTACTACGTACCAGATACTGTGTTAAGAACTTTGCAAATATAATCTCATTTGATCCTCACCAAAGCCCTGGGAGGTAGGTTCCCATTTTATAGTTGAGGAAACTGAGGCAGATGTGTCTGAAGCTGGATTTGAATTCACATCTTGATTTCAGGCCCAGCGCTCTATCCCCTGTGCCACACAGCTGCCTCTGATTATTGTACATTCTACGTACAGCAACAGGCAGTGCTCAGTGTCCCTCTCCTACATGAGGGGGTTTCTCCAAGTTATTAATATTCTCTCCCTTCACACTCCAGGTTATTTTATATTTACCTGTCACAAATTGTTGTCGTCAGTAGAATGTAATCTCACTGAGGACAGGAATTGTTTGTTTTTTTTTTTCAATCTCTATATCTATAGCCTAGTGCATTGCCATAGAGTTGGTATTTAATAAGTGTGTTGAATTGCATTGAATTCAACGTGGGAGGGAGGGGAAACATGTCAGGAGGCTGCAATTTTAAAAGGAAATTGATGAAAAAGCCTAGCTGGTGGAAGAGAGCACAGGTTAGCCCCGGGACTTGGAAGTTGGGGGGAGTCTCTATGATTTAGTCCTGCTGGTAGGTGACTGTCTTTCTCCCCAAGGAGGCAGCTCCTTCCAGTCTGAGGCTGCCTCTGTAAATGGCCCATGTGCTGCTCAGAGCCTGGGCCAGTGCTCAGCTAACAAATGACACTCAACAAAGGCTATAAATAAAGGGTCATGGGAAATCTGAAATAAGAATATGCCAAGTGTCAGCTCAGTTATCCAGAGAAAGTCCCCAACTCAGCTGCGGGCCCAGCCCATTGATCCCACTGGTGTGAATGGAGCCTTCCAGTGACTGAGGTCACCCTAGCTACCCAAGACTAGAAAGGGTGAGGCTTGGGGCTGGGGTGGCTTCTATCAAGTAGAGGTGCTGATACTGGCCATCCCAACAATCTTTTAAAAATAGTCTGACATTTCTCCCCTTTTACAGATGGATAAACTGAGGTTTAGAGAGGTTAATGGGAATGAAAGAAGAAAAAGAGGAATCTTAGTTTTAGAGCAAGAGGCAGAGTTTGAATTCCTGCTCCGCCTCTTACTCCCTATGGGACCTTGGGCACTTCTCTTCCCATCTCTGGGCCTCAGTATGCTCCTTCATAAAATGAAGGCATTGGAGGACAGTGCCTCCAAGAGTACCTTCTAGCTGGAAATCCATGATCTGTGCCCCAGTTACCTCATGATAGCCTCTGAGGTCCATTCCAACTTAAGATCTAGGATTCCCTGACCTGGTCCAATTCAACAACCATTTATAAGCACCAGCCGCATGACAAGCATTGTGCTAGTCTCTGGAGAGACAGCCAAAAATGGAAACGAGTCCCTGCCCTCAAAGAGCTTATATTCTCTGGAGGGCAATAACACACCCAGAGAAATTAATCAAGAGATTTGCAAAGAAAAACCAAAGCAGTTTTGAGGGAAGTGTTCCTTATTGAGGGAGCTGGGCCTCAGAGAGAGCTCAATTCTAGCAGGGGGAAGTGAGGAGGGAGGGCACATCAGGCATGGAGTATTGCCTGGGCAAAGGCACAGAGGTGGGAGACAATGAAGACAGGAACCTCTACAAGGAGGCCAGTTTGCTGGAATGTAGAGTGAGTGAAGGAGAGAATTGTGCCCTAAGCCTGGACA